CTAATTTTTTTATTTTATTGTAGAGATGAGGTCTTGCCTGCCCAGGAGGGTCTCGAACCCGCGGGCTCAGACAATCCACTCACCTCAGCCTCCCAAAGGCGTGGGATTACAGGCTGAGTCACCAAACCTGGCAATTCTTTCTTCTTTAGCAGAACTAACACCATGGTCTTCATTACCCATGTGGTCTCCCGGCTCCTCAGCTCCATGCCTCCAATATGGCCACATCCAGCCACCTAGGACCAGGCCTACGCAATCTGTCCCCCCAAGAACTAGTGCTCTCTACCGCCCACCCACCAAGGTAGCCGACAGCTCCACTTCCTGGCATTTCCACGCTCTGCCTCTCAAGCTCTATCCCCTGCTCTGCCTGCCAGCCCTCCTTGGCCTCTCTGACCCACACACCTTCCCCAAAGGTTTGTGACACCAATAAATGCAAATGTTGGTGCTCGCTGTTCTTCCTCACCCTCAGACATTTATTTCTCCTGTCTTTGCGGCAAGATCGGGTCTTGAGCTTTTCCTAGACCTCACAAAGCCAGGCAGAGGGCTATGATAAGAAAGCCTTCAACCCATACCTCAGCAACCAATTTGGAAGTTCTAAAACTAAGACTGGATTTTATAAATCGGGTGTGTTATTGACTTGGTAGATACTTAATACACAGAAGGTTTCCTATCTTAATACACAGAAAAAGAGGGGTCATTAAAAAAATATTATTCTTCGAAGAACTGATTAACAATCGCCCCCAACCATTCATTCATTTGGGAGTCATGAAACCTATTTCATCCCAAGTCAAGATACCTATAAATCTTAAAGTAGGCACAGTGACTCACACTTGTATTCCCAGCAATTTGGAAGGCCAAGGCGTGAGGATTGCTTGGGTCCCAGGAGTTTGAAACCAGCCCGGGCAACATAGCAAGACCTCATCTCTACAAAAAATAAAAATAAAAATTAGCTGGGCATGATGGTGCACACCTGTGGTCCCAGCTACTCTGGAGGCTGAAGTGGAAGGATCGCTTGAACTCAGGAGGTGGAGGCTGTGGTGAGCCATGATCCTGCCAACCTGTACTCCAACCTGAGCGACAGAGTGAAACCCTGACTCAAAAAAAAATTTTTTTTAAGTGATCTGTATCACCAGTCACAAAGGTCCCTCAGTTCTTGAGCAGAAAGTGAACCAGTAGTGGTGTCTTACTGATCAGGAAGGAAAAGGAGAGGAAGGGGTGAAGGAAGCTCTGGCAGAACCTAAGGCCAATTGCACTGTTATCTTGCAGCAATTACTCAAGGTCCTTGAAGGTCCTAGAAGATGAGACGTTTACCATACGCACATCAACTCTTCCCAGTCATAAATAGTCACAGAGCAATGATGGCCATCTATCTGCTCAGAGGGAGGACAGCGACAGGAGAGACACAAAGTAACAACGTGGTGATATTTATATGGCCCTTGAAACATACAGATCATAAAATGTAGAGATATGATCTACTTAATCCTCACGGTTTTCTTTTAACAAAAAGAAAACCCCAGTGTTTTGGGTGTGTATGTAAAGGGGAAAAATTCCCCTTTGTTTTTAGAAAGTGAAAGAATTGCTCTAACAGCAGACACAGAAGCTAAAGGCCTGCCTGGCTGCCAGCTTGGCTTTCTGCATCTTGTCCCAAAACAGGGACTCAGAATCAGCAATCGTTTTTGTCCAGGGTCAAGGTCTCTGGTTAATCTTTTTTGTTTTGTTGTTTCCTGTGACCTTTTTGTAGTTGCCTAACATATGCATTGGCTGTGTAATCTAGTACTAACCAGTTCACCAAGACAACCTTCAGACTTCCTGTTTAGACTTAAATTTCTGTGTTGGTTTTCCCCATAGTATGTCAGAAGCCTCAGTGAGGCATTTCTCCTTTGGGTGTCCAAGCACAAACATTGTCAGTTGGAATATTCCTAAGAGGTAGCAAAATGCAAGTCTGGAAACAGTCTCTGCAGAGGTGAGGCAGTGAGTCTCGTGGAAAACTGGAAACGTCATGCAAGAAGAGACCATGGAGCAAAACAAAAGTTTGGAAAACAACCAAGTAGCTGTTTGGATAGAAGCAGCTTTTCACGAGCTTGTCTGCTGGGAAGGAGTGGATTAAGGGAAGAAGTGAGTCAATAAATTCACTCCAGTCATGAAGTGGGTTCCCACCTCAGCCAGGAGAGGTCAGATGATGGTATATGAAGCAAGCAGTTCATTTTTGAAGGCAAAAAACTGTAAACATAAGCTTCTGTGCCCTGGGTTCCTCTCCTGTGATACTCCACCTGCCCACATTGCATCATTGTATGAGAACTGGGACTTGGGGCACATGACGAGCAACATGCAAACAAATATTTCTTTCTCTCTCTCTCTTTTTAAAGATGTGGGGTACAATTCAGGATTAAGTAGACAAGTAGTC